CCCATACTAATTTCAATACATCCACGCCTGAAAAAAATTTACGGATATTTTGCTCTTCTTACATTTTTATAAAATTAATAATAAAAGGTATTATCTTTTTAATAGTAACCTGAAAATGCTAATTGGTCTACTGGTCATTCACTTCATACATTTTTCCTAAAGGTTCAAGAAAATTGCATTAAAAATACTATTATTTTGGAGAAACTGCTGTAGCCGCTTAGTTGATTACATACTACATATTAAACTCTTTTGATAAGAGAAAAGCAAAAAAAGAAATATTTGGAAAGCGATCGAAAAAATAAGATACTTAGTAGTTTTGTTTACATATCTGTACATAAAATGCCTTCCACTTTTTCTACTTCCCAGAAAATATATTGCGGCATATTCTGAATTTCGTACGAACCGAAAATGTGAAATTTTTGTATAGAAAATGATAGGAAAATCCCATGATTTTCGATTCGTACGAAAACAAGAATACGCTCCATTATAAAAATCCTTGATGTTAAAAATTTATTCGCTTAAGTAAATATACATACATACATAAACACAAAATTAAAAATATGTACATATGTATACAGACAATAAAAGTTGGCTCTTTATTTCCGGGCTGGGACGTGTCCAGTCGTGCCGGGCCGGGCCGGGCCCCACTAAAATTCTCAACGTGCGGGCTCGTGCGTGTTTTTGAAAGTTGATTTTGCACTCGCGACGGGCCGTACCCATCTCTACTACCTACCAACGAGTATCTACCTATAGAACTCGTGTTACTCATACGTCATGTCACACCACACCCCAGTCAGACACTCAGACCTTGTTACATACGTATTCATAATTTATTTGTTGCAACGCTTTCTGATTTATCGTTCTTACCATCCGATCAGACATTTTTATTTGCATACCTCTTTTACTTATTATTGTCTACATACATATGAGCCCTTGCCCAAAGCTTCGACACGCATTTGTTTCATTCATTTCAAGTTTACATTGTTGCCACACCCACTGAATTGGCAAACGTACAAAGATGAACATACACACATATATTTATAAATATATCGTTGTTGTGTGCTATTTAATGCGAAACAAAAGTAAATATTGTAGTAATGAACAATAAGGGCAGTGGGGTAAGGAAAGACTGTAAACAATAGCAGTCACAGCGAGCTTCATGTTCATAAGCATATGCCGTTAAAACATACAAACATACGAGTATTACAGACGGCGCACAATGGCACTAGAGCGGTAAAAGGTAGTAAAAACAGATTATCGAATTCTGAAAAACTAATTACGCAGATTCATAGCAAAATGTCCAACTAACCCAAACCAAAACGAATTTTTGATTAGATTGCAAATTTGCTGTCATGGGACGAGCTTGAACTGGATACAATGCAAAAAATACATTTGTAAGAAAAAATTTAAATTTGGTCTCAAGTAATTTAACCTAATTTTTCCACTTGCGCGGATGAGACTGATGAGAGGGTTTTTGCTCAAATGTTTTTTTAAATAAAATTTTTAAAATTTTATTTTTGTAAATTTTAAAAATTTTTTATATAATTTTTTTTAAAATTTTTAAAATTTTTAAAAACAAATTTCTTAAGTTTTTAAATTTTTTTTTAATTTAAATTGCTTTAAATTTGTATATATTTATCTAGTGAAATTTATAAAATAAATAAGTCTGTCAATTTTATACAAAATTCTTAAATTTAGTACGTGGAGCCAAAAATGTTTTGCAGAAGGTGGGCGTCATGGTAAGTAGCTTCCCATCATCTTCCAAATTGGAAAATTTTGGCGTAAACGGGCAGGAATTTCATAAAAAAATACTTTTTTTAATTTGCGCCTATTTTTCTAGTGGACGATAATGTAAACCAATTTTGACGTACTTTCAGATTTATGCTTTTCTGGTTAAAATGAGCACATACTCTGAATTTCAACAAATTGGGATAAAATTTACTATTTCCGCCCATATGAGCTAGGGGCGTGGCAGCGCGTCGAATGTTATCATCATTTCAACATTTCTTCATTTATAATTGCCGAATAGCGCACATACCTAAATACCTACGAAATTTCAGCGAATTTGTAGTACGGTAACTAATTTTGACCACAGCTTATATGGCGACGTCCCACAGTGCGGCGGCAACATTGCTTCCAAGCACTCATTGGGGCGATATATTTCCAATTCGTCTGTGTGTTGATATTTTTGCAAATATGTTACTTCGACTATCTGTCAGCTCGAGTATTGCAGCGCTTCACACTTGCCTGCTATTGTATTGCCCTCCTTCCTTTTGCTTGATCTGCCACGCTGACTGCTGTTATTGCATTCTTCATTTGCTCCATTGGGGCTTTTGCAAAGCTCATCTCTCAATGTTCGTATGTCTTGTTTGTCTTAACTGTTGTTGTTGTTATTGTGGATTGTTTGTTTGCTGCTACAAGTATTGTATGTCATATCATTTGTAATAAATAAAAATTAACATGTGTTACCGACAATGTCTGCATGCTCCTACGTACATGCAAATGCATAAATACATAAATAAGCATATGTATGATATATAGTATGTGTGTGTGTGTGTGTGTGTGTGTGAGGATTTGCATAGTAATATCCTGTCGAGTTTTAAAGTTACAATCGGATAGTTAGTGCCTACCTCTGTTTGTAGTCTTTTTGATATGCCCATTTGCTGCCGTCTCAAGNTTTTTTATTAAAGTATTTCTATAAACAAACATATGCACCGAATCCAAATATTTATAAGGCGCCTTTTAAATAATATTTCGCGTTACAATTAAGCAATAATTAGTTTCCTACGTTTTTTGGTATGTGGCTAATGGCCAGATGCGCCGGCGCAATTTGAGATGCCGGCGTAGCCGCCGCCGCCGATTATTTCTAAGATTCGCGACGCCGCCGCCGCAATATCTATCGGCGTAAACCTCTAATACATACATACAGTCACACGCTGCTACTCAGTTTAAAGACTTTCCTGCCATGTTCCGTAGGACTATTGTGTATGCCCTTGCAATGCTAGTAATTCAAATAGTTCCAAGTAAATGTGGTATCTTAGTGGGAGAACGGCATATTTATTTCAACTTGAGTTCTGCTGTTTATCGGCATTTAAATAAAACATACTTCATGGTGTTCACTTAAACATATCGGTGAAGGCTAGATTTTTGCTGCACAAAACTGAAACCACTACAGCTTTGATGGTTAAAGGTAGAGGCCAGCCATCAACAACGCCTACTTCGCTGCTGCTCTTATATGTAGGTTCAATAAACTTAGAAAATTCTCGTAGTTGTATTATAATGCTGACATGCGTAACTGCTCATTGGCATTGACAAATTCGTCTCGCTACGACATTCTACAAGCGTAGGTGGTACGACTAATGGCTACCGTCATTTGTGGCATATACACCGGTGATGTATGTTTTTTGTGTTTTGAATATTAAATGCAGGCATGTTATATGCAAATAAGTATGTATTTTAAGTGCAAGTAGATAGCTTACCCTGGCGATAAACAAGTTTATTATATGAAAATACTGTAAGTTGAGCGCCAAATTGAAAGTTCAATGACTCCAGCTTGCGTTGATAATGAAAACCATAGCTCAAATCAAGGAAATGTTTGATAAATGAGGGAATGTTTTAGGTTAATGCGGCGCAGTTGCGAAGAAAGTAACTCACTATATTTTCCGCTCCCAAGGAGTCGCATACTAGCCAGCATATGGAACAAGGGTCCGGTGTTATGTCGAGATAAATACGACCCCAGCGAATCCCGCTGATGAAGTCTGATGAGGAAATGTGGTGATTTCCGAAATAGTTATCACTTCTACAATTTTTTCAAATTGTTGTTGCTTTTTGTAGTTTTTCATTAAGAACGGTCTCAAGCTCAATAAAAATTGTTGAATATAAAATAAAATCCTAAAATTAAACTAAATAATTAAAATGTATTCGTTTTTTGAAACAATAAATCTTTAATCCAAAGAAATTTATTTTTAAATAATTGGTAAAATAGAAAAATATTTTTTTTTTAAATAGAAAAAATTAAATCCGTTTCCAAAAATTTATAGAATAAAAAAATGTATATATTTTTAAAAGAATAAAATTAAAAAAAAAAATTAAATAAGGTCAGTTTCCAAAAATTTAAGGAAATTAAAACAATATATATTTTTCTATTTAAGATATTGAAATATCATAATTTAATTTAAGTTAATACAAAAAATAATAATCCGCTGCCCGATATTTTGAACTCGAAAGGAACACCCGCTCACTATTGCAGCTCTCACCCCCTAAGATTGCTCTATGTCGAAAAAATATACTCTTATTTTTTTATTTTGAAATCAAAAAATATTTAGAGGTCGCTCAAAGCGCTCGAAAGTTTTCCATGCATTTGATATGGATAGTTGTTTTTAACTATTCCTAGAAAGGGTATGGAATTCTTGAAAATCAATATTTTTCGATCGGAAAACTCTGGTTCTTTTCTTTTTCGATTTCAAAAAAAAAATAAAAAATATTGGTGTATTTTTTTCGGTATAGATCAATCCCCCAGGTGAGAGCACAATAATTCCGACTGTAATTCTTCTCACGCATTTTTGGACTACCCTAATGTACATACATACAGTGATTTCTCTCAAAATAACTTCTCACTACGAGCGGAGAATGGGAGAGCTTTGTTCATACTAGGTTACATGTATGTAAGTAGATTATCCTCATTTTCGAGCTTAACTCCTTAATCTGTAATTATAAAAAGAGATTAGCCATACAAAATTCGTGGGGTGATTAAAAACGAGCTTTGATTGAGATTATATTTATATGTGAGCATACTTTAAGACTTTTGCACTAGAATAACAAAAGTCTTTGGAACTATTTTGCTATCTGTATTTCATTTGTCTCACGAAAGACTTTTGTGGTATCTTAGTCAGCGGTATCCTATTAATTGCATTGTGAATCTTTAAGTGATCTTATCTATGTAACCAATAGTGTCACGAAAGAAAACCAAACTAATTTCAGTATTTTCTTTTGCTTTACAGTTGACGCCCATTGCAGTTCATCATGGTACAGATCACTGCCATAATTAATCAATAACTACACAAATAATGATCCTCAAAGAAAAATAGAAAGTAAGTAATACTTAAGCACATCGTAAATATTCGTCAAATCATATTCGATAGTGAAGGTCAAGTGAAAGATTGATGATAATTTAACGGCTAATAATAAAAAAAAATAGCCCTAACACGCAACAGCACAAATTAGTTATACAAATTAGTTATAAATAAATTGAAAATAAACAGAAATAAACCAACTGAAGCCAGTGGAAGTTAGAGGGGCAGCATAAAACTCTTGGGTTGTAACTAAAGCTAAAACAAGAAACTTAAAAAATAAATGACAAAATTAAAAGCTAAATCTAAGTATGCAAAACTGACAAAAAAATTTGAAAACAACGGCTGAATGCAGAGTAGTTCAAAAGAGAATACGAAACTCGCCATATTACGTAGAAAATTTAAGAAAATATTTTAAAAAAGAGAAAAACTAGAAAAGTACTTTCCAAATGGCTGAAAAGCCTAGCGCAGATAAGGCTGTATAAAGCTTTAGAGCATAATTTGTGAGTGACACTACATTTTGAAAGCACTTTAAAGCACTGCCGCTTAACTGAGGAGTGAAAGCTCTGTTAAACACTTTAACTTGAGGTTAAAGCTTTTTACGAAAAGCAGTGAAAAGTAAACGCAAATGCGCGAAAATGGTTCCAATCGACGACGAAGACGAACACAGTCGCCATGACGCAGAAACAAACGTAGCTAAAGTGAGCTCACAAAGGCAAAAGTGCAACTACGCTGCAACTATAAATGGCAGTGACAAACGCAATACCACTTATTTGCATTTTTTACGCAAAACTCGAAGAAAAAGCAACAAGCTCAGCTTTAAAGCAACCACGCCTACGTCAAATGCACGCAAGTGTCAAGCGCTAAGCGCCTACTGGCAAATGCTGCTGATTCCGCAAAGTAAAAGCTTTAATGGTAACAGGCGATTCGATAGCTTTCACAGTATAAAAAGCTTACAAAGCTTGCAAGTTAAAGAAAGCGCACGCGAACAAGCAATAAGCTATAGATGCACTTCATTAAATCAACTCAGCTCCGTAGGCCAGGAAGATAGTCGTGAAATCAAGCGATATTGTGGTGTCAATTACAGCAAGAGTGAAGTCAGCTTAAGACGTTGTGGCAGTATAGCTTTGGCACCAGCGCCACGTTGTAGGAGTAGTGAAAGTCAAAGCGCCGCAGTTAGGGAATATGAATTGCAGGCGGACTTAAAGCCGTTTAGGTACAGCAAAAGCAGCGGAAACAGCAGAAGCAGATACGCCAGTTGCGACTGGAGCGAAAAGTTCAACAGTTACATAATCAGAAGCAATACTAATGAAACAAATGGCAGCTATCGTAGAAGACCGCAATCAATTGAAAGACTGTGCAAACGCAAAAAAAGACGCTTGCGACGGCGTCGAAAAAGAAAAGCGCACAGAAAGAGACAGCTACATGAAGAAAAAGAAGAGGAAGACGAAGAAGAACGCAATCACAACACAATAGCGACATTTGGCGAGCAACTAGCCGTAGTACATACAACCGCTAAATCCGCAACAGTAGTCGCATTTAATGCACACGAAACTCATAAAAGTGCAATTGTCTCACACGCACAACCAGCAACAACTTGCACACCAACAACCGCAGCAACAACACAGCATGACACGCTTGTCGACGTGTCAACAATAGCAGCAATATCATCACCAATGCCATACACAACCGGAACGCACGCACATAAATTGCCAGCTACCAAAACACTTCCAAAGCACCACGTCGTCGTCGTCGTCGTCGATTGTCATGAACGCAGCAATAGCAGCTGTTGCAATGGCAATACAACTGGTGTGCAACATCACTCAAGAAGTAGCAATAAAATGGCGACAATAAACACATGCACAACAGCTAAATCAGCAATGTCATCAACATCTTATTCACCAACAGCAGCGGCAGCCTTCGACGCTGCATCGCCTGCCATACGACTGTCGGCCTTTTATGCCGCAACTACACTGCGCCTATTTTTAACCACATTGACAACACTGATCGCCAGCACAACACCAACAACATTCACAGCCACAAAATACTCATGGATTTTTCTATGGATATATGTGAATTTAACTGCTAGAGGTGAGTACTGGAAAATATTTGGTTACTTTGATTTTGCATAAGAAAACTAGCAAATACCCGGCGTGCTTCACTGCGCCTTAAACATATTTTTGTGTTGCTAAAAAATAAAGTATGTACATTTGAAAAGCTTTTTGAAGTGATATTTTAAAACAAATTTTCGATTTATGAAACATACTTTGTTTTTTATGAATAAGGGTGTTCGCTAAAATATTTTCAAAGGTATTTAATCCTGGAAATTTAATTTATAATCTTATAACTCGATTCTACATAAAGTGTGCGTTCTTCAAAGGTATATTAATTCAGTATTGACCTTATATTATCAATTTGATTGCATACAATTTTTTAAATAGGTGGCTATCAGCTACAAAAATATTTTCGACAGTAAATTTATTTAAACCTCATTTGTTTGATACCCGCGTTGTAATATTTATTTAATTTTATCAATTTAAAAATTTGCTAAAAATTTTCAAACAGTTGGCAACCCTCATCAAAAATATTTTTGGCAGTAAACTTTATAAAATCTCTTTAGTTTGATACCCGTATTGCAATATTTAACTTATCTTATTTATTGAACTAAGTTATAATTTTCAAATAGGTGGCAACCTTCCCTAAAAATATTTTCGACTGTAAGCCTTCTTAAACTTCTTTCTTTTGACGGCCATATTGCAATAGTTATTTTATCTTAGCAACGTACTTAAATTGCAATTTTCATACAGGTGGCAACTCTCTCATTATGATTTTTCTATATTTTAAGTTGGACCTTTAGCAATGCATCGCTGAAAACTCCAATTGCTTTCAAGCATTATTTGTCGAGCGAAGCGCGTACAAACATGAAGACAAACGTACAACGGGCAGACAGACAGACAAAAATTTTAAAAATTGTTTATTTGGCTTCTGTTGCTATAATAAAGACCACCATATTAATTTTTCTTTAATATCTATATATAATATATTTATGGGTGTAAAAAAATAAAAAGGTACCGTGCGGTCCGCCAAAGGACCGTTTTCGGGTGCATCATAACCTTGCACATCAGTGGAATCCGATTCTTACCTTTCACCTTGTGGCAAATATTTGTATGTATGTCACAATGAGCCGCCGTTATGGCTCAGTGTTTAGAGGTGCATACCACCAATCCGTAGTTCCTCGATCTCCAAGAAACAGTGGTCGCCCCTCTGCAGGAAATGTTTAATATCCGCGTGTATTTCCGTCATGAAAAAACTTCTAGTAAAATCAATTTGCCGGTTTCTTCTTTTCAATGACCAGTTTAGCTTAACAGTAAGTGTGACTCTCAAGACTTGGCTCTGAATAGATAGTGCGCTAATGTGTATCAGTTATGTTGGATTTTAGTGGTTACTGTAGCCAATTTAGAGCGTAACTAATTTGACCTATGTGCTGTTAATATATTTTTTTACCGATAACTGTTAACCCAAAACATATATCATCCCCATATATGAGTACGCTTGGGAAGGGTGAGCCGAGATGTTCCGACTTCAGCTACGACAGTGACGATGAGGTCTGATTTTTAGTGTCATCGCATGCATCCCCATCAGACAGTGTCGGGCCAAAAAACTCCACCAAAGTCGAGAATTACAGCCTTATGCACCTAAAACGCTATATTGACGCCTTCTATTTATACTACCTAATTCAGAAAACGTAAAAGATTTTTAGATCAGGCAGAGTATACTACATATGTTCGCTTTTTATCTACAGGAAACCTAAACACATATTCTTGCAATGGCATCAGACTCAAAAATAGGGAGCAATGGAGTTTCTTTTGCTCAGTTGAATAAGCGCAAGAGGCCATTTTACCAAATTCTTAGCTCGTTCAAATAGCTTCTCAATCTTCTTTGTCCTGAAAATATGCCTCTAATAGTTCGTACATTCTCTTTTGGGAGGTTAATAAGAAGCTTGGATGTTTTCAGGTTAGTCCGCCCAATAAGCTCTTAGCTTGGCAAGGGCTTATTATTTTATGCCACCGACATATTCTTATACCGATTGCACTCGATGAACGCTAAAATGACCCAAAAAACGCACGTAGATTACAAATCTGTTTGCCGGTTTGCTAAATCTGGCCATTTTCCAAAGATATTTTCATTTTAAGTTTGCATTGCGAAAGAAAAAATTTCATACTTTAACATGAAAAATAATACATACAAGTACCTAAGTACGATATGGCGTATGAGTAACATTATTTCCTGCTCCTACTTCACAAAAAAAAATTACTGCAATATTTCATTTGACCATTCAAAACATGTTTGCTTGATGTTTTGGCAAAAGAAAAGGCGTCAATACAATTGGAAAAAAGTCACAAAAGATTTGATTTCTTTTTAATTTTGTCGTTGCTAGTCTGATTTCTTTTTCATTAACTTGAAAATGTCTTAGGAAAATTAAATGATCTGGAGAAATGGTATAGAGATCCATTATCTACGACCCAATATTAAGTTTACGTGTTTCGACGTTGTTGATTTTGTAATTTCAAAACTTGAGATTTTCCCTACAGTGTTACCTAAAGAATGACTCAGCACCTCTGGGAGTTAAAGCTGTGGCCATAATAGTTAGATTAGGCTGTGTTTTCAGACACATTTAGCTTTCCAAAGGTCTCCAACATGATAATTTCTACGTTAGATAATCCTTGCATGCAGAACAATTACGCAGGCCTACGCCCCATTTGGAGTTTTAGAGCTACATGTTCCCGAAAACAGTTACTTTTCTCGTATCAGCTTTGCGGGAAGAGGTCATGTGAAAGCTGTGATTCTAGATTTTCCACGCTCCTAGTGGATGAGATCTTCCTTTGGTGAAGCATTTTCAAGCAAAGTTGAAGTGAATATGCTTGTCAACCTGGTCTATCGTGCGACGTATGGACTTAATTTCCTGCAGCTATGCCGNAACACGCCGTGGAAGCAGGACCTTGAGGATTTTACTTTCCAAGAGTACCACACAGGTAGATAAAGTTTATTTCCTCATTGAAACCACCTTTTACTTTTTTAAGACAAGTCATATTTACGTATTTTTGAGAAATATCACAGTGGCTGCATAGCTCCCGGACTGACGAGCCTCCGACTCATTTAGACTCCACTGCGAGTGACCCCAAGTCCAGGGTTGGCGCTAGGCTTACTGAGTAGATGCTTGTCCCACTTATCAATGTAATGCATTCAATTGCACAGCTGCTTTCGCGAAAGCCAACTTTGCCTAGGGCTCACTATCGCCAAACTATATCCACTTGTGGTACACTGCAAGCTGCATCATCACATGCCCTCACCGACTCTTTCACAGAGCTTATACCTGTTGAACTGATCTTGTTCCACCAACCAGCTTAACTTGAAGAAATGTAAGTAGAGAAAAAGCTAACCTTCATACTTCGAATTAGTTCGCCTAGTCTCTCAGACATCCCGAGGGATGAGTAATCGTTCACCAAAGGGGCACCGAAGAGTTGAAAAAGCGTTTGATGACTGACTTGCCCAGCTGATTGTCTAACAAATTTTACTCATTGTGAGTCATTTCTTCTTACTTGCAAATTCGTAATTCTACACCACTTGTATTTCAAGCAAACTAATGCAAATGCCATCCATTATAAGTGCAATGTTGCATGGCATTGCATTGTGACGCGTGTCACTCCATCATCAGATTTGCACACAGATGACTCAAATGCCAAGTCGTTGCGCATTGCCGGCATACGGAAGCCAACTCATAAATGCATTCACATACTTGCGAAAGTTGCGTATAGAACCAAATGGAAAACTTTTTTAATGGCAAGTAAAAATATCAGCTCTTCCTAAGTATGTGGCGCAAAGTCACACATACAAGTATAGCTAAATTGCAAAAGTTGCATTTTGATGCAGTCATGCGCCTAAAAGTTGACACGACCAACGGCAAGTGCGCGCCAACCGACCGAATAGATGCAACCACTTCAGCTTAAGTAAAACATACGCAACTCATTCGTGGTGTCTCTAAGTGACAAACCGAAATTGCAATTTTTGTAGTTGTATAAACTTTTTCCCCCCATCTCACAAAAGCGACAGCTTGCTTTGGCGTGACATTTTGTGATTTTTTCTTACACTTTTCCTTCGCACTTGTTGCTCCCTTACTTTATAGCTGCATCGCATGTAAAATAACAAAACAAGAAATTAAAAAAAAAAAAAAAAAAATCATGCACTACCAGTGTTTATTATACAAGGGTGTCGTTGCTGTAGCACTCATTGTCTAGGCACCTTTTATTGCCCAACAACATATACCTATACATATCTACCGCCGCATACGCATTCGGCTGCCCTTTTCACCTCCAACAGTGAGCCACCACAAATTTTCCATCTTTATTTTCTTTGCTTGAACGTGCCATGCCTTCTTCCTTTCCGCTTGTTAAGTGTCTCGCTTTTGTGCTGTGTACGCTCTGTGCGGCGCCGCCACACGTAAATTACCCTGAAGTGCACTCAAGCGCCACCAAGTGCAACTCAAGTTCTACAACTTATAAGATTTGCTTTAAAAGTCTCTTCAATTTTTAATTCAATACGAGAATTTGCATTGTGTCAAAAGATACGAAGGAATACATGGGTTGAGGTGAGTGAGCTGAGTGAGTGAGTGAGTGCAGCGGAGTTGAGTGGCTTTTAGTGTGGGTAAGCTGCTTGGATGGCAAAACAAAGCGGCTGAAGATGTTGACGGAAATCGAATTTATGCAGCAGCTTTTGATGACTAGCATTTTATGTGGTACTTATTTTGTTGGCTTTGACTGACATTTTCAAATGCAAGCATGGCAAGAGATTTGGGTTAAAGTCGCTTAAGTGTCATCTAAGATAGAAATATTAAATAATTAATTTTTTGCTGAGAAGTAAAGGTCATCCATCCTGTGAAGGTGGTGAGCATGAAGAGAGGAAATGTAAGTTTTTATAGTACACACACATATCTATCTTCTTATATATGTAAGTGTTTTATGTAAGTTTGAAAATAGTTTGCCATTAGATGACCGCTGCAAATTTAATGTTAATTACCTGCTGCCTGAAATGAA